AGGAGGACCTAAAGAAGGAAGATGGAACTTGGTCAATTAAAATTTCCCCCGAGAGCCCCAACAATTCTTTCCCCAGAGTAGAAATTGGAGTTAGAGGCTGTGTTTTAGCATGCAAGCCTTGACTTTCCTTCAGCTCCCTCTATGCAGCCCTTGTCCAATTTATTGCACTTGTGGAACTGATCAGCCCAGAGAGGAGCCACCGTTTTGAAAAGGGTTATTTGAAACCCCAGCAATAATCACTTTATTCTGAATTCCTTTATGATTTCACGAGGGCAGCTGCTGGTTTTCCTATGCATATATCAACTGCATCAGTACAGAGCAACCTCACCAGGTGATGTGGTTCTGTAGTTTGGGCACATGGAAGAACAAAAGATGTTATTTTACCAGAAATAAGACTTGGGCACGGAGGGATGATAAATACAAGTGGGTTCCCCATACCTGGAGATGCCCAAGGCCAGGATGGATGGGGCCCTGGACAGCCTCATCTGATGGAGGCAACCAGGGATTGGAAGTGGATAGGCTTAAAGGTCCTTTCTAACTCAACCATCCAATTATTCTATGATTCTAAGACTTCGTGATGGAGAATCCTCCAGCAAACACCTGTCATACCCCAGAGCAATGAGTATCTCAAAAATAACTGTACCTCTGAGGACAACAAAGAAATCACCACTATCCACTCAACCATCTCCAATAGTACAAACCATGTCTGAGGTGAAGGCAGACAGGGACAACTCTTGCCACCTCCCATCCAGATCTGCCAGGTCCAGAGTCCCCCACTACTTCAGCAGAATTGCTAAAACCCACGAGAAAGGATGCTATGGTAGACAATTCAAACGCAACCTGGTTCTCAGTCTTTCAGGTGGGATGTGAGCACCAATCTCTGCAGGGTTGTCAGAAGGTTTTCCTCCTCCGTGGCATTGCTCTGTGTTCACTGTCCATGTGCCCTCTGCAAAACCATATACATTCCATTTCCAAAGACGTGGTATGAGAAACAAGGCTGTAGCTGAAGCTAGAAATGACTGTTTTATTCCCTTCGTTGAAGGTGAAGAAGTGAGAGACATTTGGCCTACACTGCTATTGGTCTCAGTATCAAAAATTAGAATAAAAGCATCATTAAAAGGGAAAAAAGAGAAAGGGAGAAAAGGGGAAAAATGAGGAAAAGGGAAAAGGAGAAAAAGAGAGAAAAAGAGAAAAATTGCCCAGGATTGACTGGAGTGATAAAAATCATCCCAGGTTCATTTGAAACTTGGCCTTCCCTTGTGTCATAACTGTGCAGAAACTCAGCCCGGGTTCATCCAGACCCAGCCCAGGTCTGTTTGAAGTGCAACCCAGTCCTGCAGGGCACAGCCATGGAACTGTACAAATTCACTCAGGTTTGGGGCCAAGCTGACTCGAAAGCAGCTCTGGCCTCAGAGGAACTGGGGGGAGTCATTATGGAGGTGGGAACTTGGGGAAAATACATCGGGTTCACCTGCTGTGAGCCAAAATAAGGATCTCCATCAGCTGTGCTTCCATGCAAGTGGGTAAGGGGAAGGCTTTCTTTAGAGAGAGAGAAAGAGAGGATAAATGGATGGGAGTCAGCTCTCACACCAAAACGGCCAAATGATGACATTCTCCTTTACAAGAAGTTAATTACTTTCCATTGGCAGTGGTTGGGGCACAGCCGTTCTGCTCTTTGAACTGCCATACCTCCTTGATTAACTCTGCCACAAGAGCGAGCGCAGCTCCGCACGGGGGGAGCTCAGCTGGCTGGCTTTCATAAATGCTTCTGCAGGCACACAAATCTTCTGCAGGAGCTCTAAGGGAAATTAATTTGTTACATAAATTTTAGGATAAACGCCACGGTTGGGAGGCTTCCTGGCTTTGTGTTATGGAACAGAGCTGGGGAGAGTCACAGGTTGGGCTCGTGGGACAACAGTCTGTTGTGCAAACCCATAAGCCATTCTAATTGCACTGAGACACCTGCCTTCAACAGGCATCAGAGCTGCAGGATCAAACACTTAACATTTAGGGAATGCAAGAATTAGGGTGGCTTGCTATAATGTTGGATATCTCTTTTTTTTTTTTTTTTTTTTTTGGTTTGTTTGCCAAAGCTAAAAAAAAAATAACGTTGAGGTTCGGATGAAAACAGATTTTATTTTATTATTTTTTAAACCAGGGAAAGGGATTTAAATCAATCCCTTGGAATGAAATAGATTAATGAGAATAAAAATAAAATTCCTAAAATCTCCATTGGGGATCAACTTGGAACAAAAACGAACATGGTGCCTCTATTAGATCCTCTAAAAAATGATGTCTGGATTCAGATTTGAAGCAAAATATCGCTTCCTCCTGACATGTTCTGTTTGAAATGGTTGAAAAACCTCCGGAATTATTTATTTATTTTTCCACTGAGAGTCCCGTGCCCCAACTCCCATTCATTTGCATCCAGCCACACAGACTGCAGTTTCCAACTAATTTGCTATTTGCAACCCAAAGCCATTTGGTTTTAATCGCCACCAATTATCTTCTGTGCAAGCATCCATCACAACTTAAGTGAACAAGATGAAAGTATGTTCCTTGGGTCCAATATCTGGGGCTCATCACCTGTTTTTTGTTCAGGATGGATGGGGCTTGCTGTTGAAAGTCTGTTTTCTTCCCCTTGTTTGCTGCTGTGACCCACACTGTTGTGCCTGGCCAGTCCAAGCTCTGAAGACTGAACAGCTTGTTTTTCCTAGCTTCCCTGCAGCACTGACTACACTGATGCTTGTGCACTTTTCAAACAGGAATCCATCATCTCACTGCTCAGGAGAAATGGTAATCCACCAGCACTTATCCCTACATGAAATTTGCCTTAAAATTAAGTGTTCAGACTGGCATTGGGATTTCTTATGGTCAGATGATTAAAATCAGGTGAATGCAGAACTTAGTGCCTATTTAACCATGAGTAGGTGGCGTAGAGGTGGGAGCATTCAGTATAACCCATTGTACCTCTCCTCCTTCAGCAAGCTTTTGCCTTTCTCATCCTTTTCTTCTGCAACAAATGAGGTAGAGGTGATGGAATAACAGCCTTTTCCCTGCCTAAATGCATAGTAATGATTGATATTTTCTGTGCATCTACAGTGTGTTCAGCACTTAAATCTACGGCTTTCTGGCCATTTGTTTTGCAGGAAATACAAGATTGCAATAAAGCCAGAAATGCCTGCTTTGTATTACACATGCAAGGACATCTTTGCATCTAAAAGCAATATATTTTATTAGACATAATAGCTGGGAAAAGAAGGTGAATTTACAGATGCATGAACCATTTTTCAGATCTGGAAAAGAGATAACAAATGTCACAGCTAACTACAAGCTCAGTTTAACAAGCTACGAATTCTTTAGACCATCTGAGAGAACAACTAGTGCTCACAAAGAGAGGCAGGTGTAGAGAAGTCATGATGCAGAGAGGCTGGTTATCTTCCATGGGGAAGGAAGATGCAAGACATTCATCACACGCAGAGCCATGAGGCTTTGATGAAGTAGATTATATATCAAATTATAAAGTTTTATGAAGATATTTCAAAGATATTTCAAAATATCCTTGAAAAAAAAGTCAAAGTCCATGCATTCTTGCATGAGAAATACTCCCCCAAATGCAGTGGCTTGATTCTTTCCCTCTGATGCAGTCTGATCTGTAACTCAGCTTATCTCCCTGCCTGTCTCCACAGATATTAGGGACAACTTCTTCTCTAAAGGAGTAGTGATGCAGTGGCACAGGCTGCCCAGGGAGGTGGTGGAGTCACTGTCCCTGGAGGTGTTGTAGAGCCATGGAGATGTGGCTCTGAGGGACGTGGTCAGAAGGCATGGTGGGATGGGCTGAGGTTAGATTTGGTGATTTCAGAAGTTTTTTGCAATCTTAATAACTCTAGGATTCTAAATAAGCACTGAAAGTCTTGCCTGAAGCCATATGGGAAAGCTGTAGTAGAAAAGGGAACCAGAGCAATGGTTCAGGTTTGAAACTTCCCACTGAGTCTGTGGAATAGGCTGTTAGTGTTAGAGACCTTGCCAACCACAGGGAAATTGGTGCAAGAGGGGGAAAACATGGCTCTGGACCCATTGCATTTGATCTCTGGTTCTGCTTTTATCCAAAACCACGCTTGGAGGTGGCCCTGCTGGAGCTGGCGTAGTGGAGCACCTCAGCATCAGGTTTATTATAGCATAATTAATTCACAGCATATGGAATGTATCACGAAGTATCCCATCATTGTCACACAAAATGTCATTCTCCTTTTGCTTATTCTGTATTTCAATGGAAACATGAAACAAGCTTTGCTTTAATGCATGTTCTTGGGGAGCTGCTATGCCCCGACACAGCAGTGGTGGATCATAGACCTGGCCATGAGTTGTGCATGCCCATCAGTGCAGTAGGTTTGTTCAGCTGTGATGCCTGTGGCAGACAGAAGATTATGGACAAGTGAGCATCCTGACCTGGAGCATGACTGCAGACACCTGTGCAACAATACTTACAATTGTAATGACTACAAATGATCTGATAGTTCTCATCCATTTCATAACCACGCTCAATTTTACTATTTGGGTCACAGTTATAACTGCACCACGGGAGAACTGAAGAGACTTAGTTGAAAGGGGAGAGTCAGACTGGATATAAAGAAAATATTTTTTATAATACGGCTGATGAGGCACTGGCACAGGTTGCCAGAGAGGTGATGGGTGTTCCATCCCTAGGGACACTCAAGGTCAGGCTGGATGGGGCTCTGAGCACCTGATGGAGCTGTAGATGTCCCTGTTTGTTGCAGGGGAGTCAGAAGAGATGCCCTTTAAGGGTCTCTCCAACTCAAACAAGTCTATGATTTCCATTTCTGAAAAGACATCTGTGTTGGATGTGATGTATGCTGACTCTAAACAGAAGTTTTGGAGGCAAGATGTGTTCCATCACTCGCTGCCCAGCAATGAGAAGTGATGAGTGTATATGAGTGATAACAGCCCCCCTTTGTGACTCTGTTCTGTTGGAATAGAACCTCACAGGTCTTTGGGACGGCCCTACTTTCCCCATCTCAGATGCCAAATGGGAAGAATGTCTGCACCACAAAGTAAATAGCAGGCTGGAGATTGGGTACACGCTTGCTGAATCATAGAATCATAGAACGGCTTGGGTTGTAAGGGACCTCAAGCATCATCAAGCTCCAACCCCCCTGCCACATGCAGGGCCACCAACCTTCACATCTAATACTGGATCCCTAACCCAGTTATGCATTTGTAGAGTAACACCTCAGCAGTTTGATGAAGCTTCTTCCAACCGATTTTCACTTGATCCTCATCAAACTTAAGTAGCCAGTGAAAAGTTTGCTCAGCAATCATCTGTTCTGTAGATAAGAGTTGAATATTTATAACAAGGTCCAAGAGCAATTGTCACAAAGATCTGAGTCCCGAGTTCAAAGAGTTCAAAGAATGCTGCAGTCTTTATGCTACCTGGCTCTGTAGCTCCAACACCATGAGTGGTATCCATCCTTGCTAAAGACGGATGTCAAGACAGACAGCTCTGCCTGAGCTAGCCACACTGGCATCTATTTGCCAAAATATGATCAATGTATTCAAAGAGGCCAAGGGCGTGATTTGCTTCATCCCAACAGAGGCTCCTAAAGTAGGACAGATTGTTCACCCCCTAAAACTTCTTGCCTCTTTCCACCAGGGCTGCAGAGAGAGCATCTACAAAGCACCTACCCTGAAGACTTCTGGAGATGAATTCCTTCCTGAAGTACCCATGATGTGCTCAGATGGTGGACAAGGACGTGGCAGGGTGAGTTCCTCCTATAACTCAGTCATCCTGACTAAGTTGAGCTTTCCTTTTTTGTAGAACTGGGCTTTTGGCAAGGTGGTGAGAAAGTTCTTGCTCCCTCTGAGCCAGAGAGTCCTAGCTAACGCTGTGTCTAACATTGAGCACCTGTATAAACAACATAGATAACTGGGTGAACTCAAATCTGGACCTAATTT